TATATAAAAATATATTATATATACATATATTATACATATTATATATATTTATATATACATATATTATACGTATATAATACATATAAAAAATATAAAAAAATATAAAAAACTACTATTCTGGGCCCGGCCGAGCGCCGCCCGGCGGGCTTTTTGGACACCCCTACCAAAAAAAATTGAGAAACGAATTAACTGGAGAAAATCACAAGAATTAGGGGTTTCGATCGCGAAAACTCACTAGTTTGAGGTGAGTCTGAACCCTCGGAGTGATCTCTCAGAAATTCTTCACCGATTCGGAGCTCCACGAGGATCGGGTGTCCGATGATCCAAAGAACGCGTCCGTCTTCTTAAGCAAACAAAATTCAAGAACCTCAAAAGTTTCGAGAACCACGGGAGAGGAGATAAAATTTTCGAGCAAAATAAACGTAGGGAATCCCTGTTACTTATAGGGGCCTCACAGGGCGCTTAAGGATTAAGTCACCATATTAAGTTTTATTTACGAGGTTGCCCCTCAAGGAAGCCAGTAGAAACTAGAAAGGTATGTGGTCCAATGACTCACGATTATTTGAATAAATCAAAGAGCTTTGCTATAGAGAACTAAAATATGTGACCAACGGAGGGACAAGTGAGGTGTCCCTTTGTTATTGCTTAATGAGTTGGGCATCATTAATGATAATCAACTTATTATATAATAAAAAGAAAACATTATTTACGAGATTGTCCCTCTTATTGGTCTCGTATTTCGGTTAATCAGGAACTTTTCTAAACCGATGGTAATGACGAATAGCACACAATAAGATTCTGCCGCGTGGAGAATCCGGTTCTTGAGCTCCCAACCCCATCCTTTTCCCCTCATTTTATCCTTTCTCCCTCATTTTAATCGAATTTAATCAAATGCGACTGCAGCCTCACTCGCTTCATCTCTCCCTACCCCGCCCATTCCTAGGGTTTCAATTCCACCCCCAAATCCCCAATTCTCTTCATTCAATCTCATCCCCGAACCCTAGAATCTCCTGCTGCAACCTCTCAAGAGGGGAATCGATCAGGCCGCGGGCGAAGAAGAAGGACAACGTGTGGAGCGTTGACAACGAGCTTGCTGAGAGGGAGAAGGAGAAGGAGAGGAAGAGGTCATCGTCTTCGTTTGGGAGGAGAAGGAAGAGGGGGAAGAGGGTGAAGGCCGGGGGGAGGAAGGGGAAGAATGAGCTGGTGCTGGTCTCGGCGGCGATGCTGATTGAGATCGAGACTGTGTTGCAGACTCAGGTGAATTCTGTTTCTATTTCTTGTGGCGCTTTTTCGAATTGTAGTTTCACATTTTTGAACTGTAATTATCAACTCATTTATTTACTGCCCAGTAGAAAAAAGGATTGTTTACATTGCTATGTTTGGTTTATTTACTTTAATGGTTTAAATGGAAATAGGATATATCAAGGCTTATTTGAACTATAATACTCCGATGATGTAGCCCCTTCTTTTTAACTTCTAGCTTTGATACTCTGAAGTTCTGCATTGTAAATTGGTACCCCCAATGGTTTTGAACTGATATTAATTCGACAATTTGGTACCCCCAAAGCCCTAGATTTAGTCCTCTCTTTCTCCGACCTTTCAAAAAAAAAAATGAAACTTTGTGGGGAAAATATTGTTTGGCATTCAGTTTTTCAATGTTGATATTCTTGAGTAACATTAAGATCAAACTTTTCATTGCACTTTGGGGTAACAAGTTGTCCAAGTAAAACTTCAAGATATCAAGGTTAAAAAAGCGTGATACTTTGCGTATTGAGACTTTCAATTGAGAAGAGGACATTTGCCATTGTCATACTTCTTATCTGTTGCTCGCATTTTGGTCTCATATCTCCCTATCTTTTTATGTTGAAGTTTACGTGAACTAGCACCTGTAATAATATCAATATAGGTCTACATGTCCTTAGCGTCCCATCGGAGTGATCTTGGACTTCTCATAGAGCCTCCATCTCCACACCTTACGGGGTTGATGAATGAAGTCTCTGACTCTCTGGTACTCCTGCATTCGAAGAGGTTCATGCTTTAGAATTTTTTGTTTACATCTTTATTCTGTTTACTAGGTGAGGTTCAGGCCACTAAATGCAACAGTTAGGGAAAGTGATGAGACTATAGTTCATGGGGGTAAAGAAGAGTAGAGGTAGACCAGAAATGAACTTGGTCGAAAGCAGTTAACAGTGATATAATAATAGTTAAGTTAATGGAGCCAATGGCTATAATGTAACGGAATGAAAGAGTAGGATTCATATATACGACCCCAAAATTTTGGGATAAAGCTTTGTGTTGTATTTTTACTCTCTTAATATTTTAGAAAAATAATGATAGGGGCACACCCTCTACCACACTCCCAACCACACCACCTCTCTTGCTACAGTGCACGGGGCCCACATGAGATTTTAATTTTTAAAATCTCATGTGGGCCCCATGCACTGTAGCAAGAGAGGTGGTGTTTAAAATCTCATGTGGGCCCCGTGCACTGTAGCAAGAGAGGTGGTGTGGTTGGGAGTGTGGTAGAGGGTGTGCCCCTAGTGCCTCTCATTTTAGAATGCATGTGCACGTTCTAATGGTGTCCTAATTTACGAATTTGATAAAGAAATCTCCTATTCGGAAAAATCTGTCCAGAGTTTACAGTTATACAAGCTTTTACGTTTTTATTATAGTTTTCATGTTTAAGAACTTTTCATATCCTATTTAAATTATTTTTGAACTTTTGGTAGTCTTTGGTATATTGATATCATAATATGTTAATGTTCACGTCACAGGAACCTGTCATTAAACCGGCATGGAGTACCTTTACTAGCAGTTTGAGTGGGATATGGATGGGTGTTGGAGCAGTATTTTCCCCATTCACTGCTGAGATGGAGCCAATTGGCATAGGGAGTCGAGATCAGAATCTTTATGACTGCTACACACTTTCCCGTATTGAAAGGTCACCAGAGGGCTCACAAATTAGAAGGAAGATAAATTGGGTTGCTTTGAACCCTTTTGGGGAAAGGCGGCAAAATTTTCAAGGTAGTTATAAAGATTATGATGGGGACAACTCTGATTATAAGTTAGGGACATCTGATGTGGAAAATCCGGACCTAGATTTACCTAGTTTTGAAGAAGATTCAATGAGCATGGAGCCAGGGCTTGTTTTCTTTGAGGTAAATACACATATTTAATAGATTTAAATACAATTTGCTTTATTGCAAATGTTCTTCAAACTATAAATTTAGGAGGAAGTTTAGAAAGGCACATCCCAGAATAAATTTCCAACTACTTTGTTTTTGCATGATTGAAAGCTGATCTTGCATGCAGTTCTGCGCAGTTTTTGTTTCCTCAATTTGTTTGATCCCTTTTTCTTAACAGATTTTCGTTCTTCCCCGCTTATCACTAAATATTCAATTTACATTTTTTTAACTTTATCTATTGGATCGACTAAAAGTTTGACTGTATTGTGGGTGTCGTTAAATTGCATTATTCTCAGTTATGCTAGAGAGTTGAGGGCACATAAAAGATCAACTGTAATTTAAGGATTACGATGAAAAGTAAATATTAGGCAACTTTTTTACGTAAATGGTGATGTTTAATGCCACACTAGAAATAAAGATACAGTCCGTGAAGCTCAGACTTGGATACATGATTCAACACAAACATCGATATATGAGACGCCAAATTTGTAAAGTAGGAACTAATAAAATGTGTAAAAGATGTATGTAGTTGCATGTCTACAAACACATGTACACATATATGTAATTAGCAATTATAACAATTAATACCTAATAATGTATCCTTAGTCAAATCAAAATTGATTAAGCAAATTCAAATTATTGTTGTTAATGCGTGAGGCACAATGCGGGGTGCAAAGTATCTTTACACGCACATGTGCAAGGCGCAACCCGATGTGCGCGCCCGAGTGAGGTAGGCCACACATAATTTTTCGAGATAGATAATCAAGCAGTAAAGGAAATGTTTAGGAATTCACATAAAAAAAATATTCAGGATATGTAATATTTTACTACCAAATCACAATATAAAATCTTAATTTTTAATGCGAACACATCTAACATAGAAGGCATAAATTTTCAAATCTAATGTCAAATCAAGACTAATATCCAAGCAAAATCAAATAGCAAATAAGGATTAGTTAGGATTCTCAATTGAATGCTACTAAAAGGGCCTAATGGACTTAATTTGCTTTTTGGGACATGGATTATCAAGGATAGAGACTCGATTGAAATGTTAACGAATAAAAGTGTACAAGGCTATGTACTAAATGCACCTTGCGCAAAGTTAGGATGCTTGCAAGGCGCAAAAGATGCTGCTGCATCAGATGTTGGGCGCTTCGCTACCGCTTTGCATCACAAGGCACATGAGACGTAGTGAGGCATGCGCCTTTGAAAACACTGATTCAAATCAAATTGATTTGCTTCCTTGATAGGCAGAGACTGACTACCAACAAGGGGTCAGTCTTGGTGGTATAAGTGAGCATCTTGCACTGATGTAGTTCTCCAGTAAAATAGAGGGAGAGATCAAGAGGTATGAGTTTCGATGTGTTTCTTAACTATTATTTTTCCTACTAAACCAATTAATCCTCAGGCCTAATTAAAGAAATAGTGTCCAGTTGTGTCTTAAATATTCCGAGAAATGTGCCCCTTTCAGATTGGACATGGCTAAGTGTATTTAACATGTTGTCTACTGCATGTCTTTGGAGTTTGAATGCTGACAAGCTATGGCATCCATAAAGAAGTGACTTTGCTTCATGGGATATAGACAAAATGGAAATAGCAGAGATGCTAAACTTATTAAGAAAAGCGGGCAAACTTAATTTTAATTCGATAGATTCAAAAAAAAAAATCTAGAAATGTGATTTAAAAGTGCTTTTAGTTTTTTATCGTTTCATAATTAGATTGGTTGTATTTGATGTCAGGTGTTTTTTTGTTTTTCTTTTATTTCTTTTATGTTTTTTCTTCCATGGTGGGATTGCTTTGCTATTTGGAGGAATCAGAGATGCTAAACTGTTAAAAGTGGGAAAGGTTTATTTTCTTTCAATAGATGCACAAAAAAAATAAATCTAAAAGTATGGTTTAAAATTGTTTTAACTTTCCTATATTTCATGATTAGATTGGTCATGTTCCTGATGTCAGGTGTTTTTCGTTTTACTTTTAATTTTTATATCCTTCCTTCCATGGTGAGACACTGCATTGCTATTTGGAGGATTCAGATTCCAACCTTCAATTTTTTGGAACTTTACTAATGCATGTACTGGAGAGCATCATTTTCTTTTCATTTACTTTTCTTGTCACTTTGCAGGATGGATCATACTCACGTGGTCCGATTGAGATACCAGTAGGAGAGCATGATGAATCTAAGTACTTTCTTTCCCCCACTTTTAAGTTTGAACAAGTAAGTGAATTTTCCCCTTAACAAACATATTAGTTATCTTTAGATGTTCGTTTTCTCTCTAATAATTTTTAGTTGTGAACACATTTTACATTTGTTCACCTTTTATTTTGATGATTTTGTAAGTTAGAGTTTAGTTGTAAAATCAGAAGCCTTATAATTCTTTGCTGTACTACTGCTGTTGGATAAATTTTTGCTTCTTAACATGTGTGGACGTCTATCTACTGAGACAGCATGTGCAAACTGATTAACGGGCCTAGAAGATGTTAGCTCTCACATGTATTATTTACCTTACCTGTGGCAATTGCAGATGTAAACTTTGCCATTTTAGGAAATGGTAACCTCAGGAAGATTCATCCTGCAATGAGAATTACTGTTACAGGATAGTTGTAACGGAACTGAGGACCATGGCCAACTCAATCCTAATGAGAAAATGATGAGAAAAATTATGATGAATGAAATTGCATGCAATTGGAAACAGGGACCAGGCCTGGTCGATTATGGTGAGAAAATGATGAGTAGTGAAATTAAACATGAAATTGGAAATCGGGACTGTGGATAGATGTAGTGTTGTACATTTAACTGCTTCTGTAAGTTATTGTACGTTAAGGTTTATAATTTCTACTCAGTGAAGCAACTACATTCGACTATTTTTTGAGAATTATCATATGACAAGGGACATATCGCTGTGTCTTTTTTCCTCTTCTCCAATCTCCCCACCCAAAACTTAAAGGGGGAAACCAGAAAAGAGGAAACCACTAGCACCAATCACGAATATCAGCATGTTATCTTTCAGAATCGTGTATGTAGATATACAAGGGGAAAGTCTAGCTTGCATTTCTACAAAACTCGCATCGCCGACCAGCATCCACATGTTCTCTTTCAGAATCATGTAAATTTTGTAGATGTACAAGGGGAAAACTCTAGCTCGCATTTTGACAATGTTGGGTAATAAATAATTTTTTTAGCAAAGAGTAATATATTTACTGTATAATGCTAGACTCTTGGCATGGCTCTTATTTTCTGGTGCCACACTTTTAAGGGGAAAAGCACAAGAGTAAGTGGATTGGAATAAGGTTTTAAACACAAAGGAGTTCTAAAGAATGCCACCTTTTACCCTAGAATCTTTCTGTAATTGTTAAGTTAAATATAAGAATTATAATATTTCATTTCAGATTATATGTATAGACACTTTTCTCACAAGGGAATTTTATCCACATGCATTGTTCATTCCCACAGATTAAGCATCAAGTAGTTGTGATTAAAAGGCTTGTTTTGTAGTTGATTCCCATTAGTTTATTGTTTTCTGGAGTCTTGTACTATTTCTGTTGGTGAAACCCTGATCACCATGTCAGAGTTATTTTACAAATTACAATACTATTCAACTGACAAGGAATGGGGCATTAAAGGTTTGTACTGTTTAATTGTTCAGTGTTTAGTGAAAGGTTGCCACAAGAGACTGCGAATTATGCATACTATTGAGTTCAGTGAAGGGGGATCTGATATACAAATTATACGAGTAGCTGTCTATGAAGAGCAATGGATCAGCCCAGTGAATCTCCATAAAGGAAAGTAAGTCATCAGTTATCTTATCCATGCACATCTCTTGCTCGTTTAACCTAATTTTACATTAATTCTTGATTTATGTTTCTTAGACCCTCTGCTTGTTTTTAGTATAAGGTCCTTATAATGATTCTTGTTAAAATGAATAGGTCATGGTGCTCTGGTTCTCAATTGTGTTATGAAAAGTTAATAAGATATGACAATTTTTAGAACCCATCCGATAATTGATTAGAGGTGGTGACATCTTTTACTAGTGCTGCCGATTGTTTGATAGAGGAAACATCTGTTTTAGTACGAAGTCAAACCCTCATGGTAAAAGCCAACAAGCCTATTTTCCTATCTTTGGCATACTTAATCTGCACCTTTATCAGATAGGTCTGACAACGGGAAAAAGTTGATCTATGGCTTTGTACTGAGGATGAACTATGGAAAACTATCTCCAAGTTCGACTTGCTTTACTGCTGAGAACTACCTCTAATTTGTTTCGACATATGGCTCATATTTAGCAATTAGTATGCTTGGATCAAGTGATGAATGATCATTTCTTTAAGGGAGCCATACAAAGGATAGTTAAAATTCAGAAGTTCAGAACTTTGAAGCGATCTTGTAAGAGGAAATTCTTCTGATGAGAGCTACATGTTGGAGGCAGTCTTATGTAATGTTTATCTTCCAGGCTTTGAGTAATAAATTGCAAACTGATACAGAATATCTGGTTCAGTTTGTATCTTTACTAATATTTTTCATGGACTAAGCTGAATGATAATTTTATTAGCTGGTTTAGGGGGATACTTCCAAAATTAAAAAGCTTCTATAGCATGCTGCAGAATGGAGGTCAGTGAGGATGTAGCTTTCTGTTAGTCTCTGTACACTATGACTCCATTTTTTCTTTATTTTATTTTATTTTTTGGGTGGGGNCTGTTTTCAAACAATAATGTCATCTAAACTTCTGTAAACAGTGATGATCAGGTTGATCTGAAACCTATCTCCCAACGAAGGCGTACCCAACCATCGGAGTTAGTTGGGTCGTGGAAAGTGTTTGAAGTGAGCGCAACACCAATCTTTAACGAAGAAGCAGAATTAGTGGAAGAAGGTGCTGGACCGCCTTATGTATACTTGTGCACAGAGACACTAAAGAAGAGGAGCCTGCCAGAGAACTCTGCTCACTTTGGGGAAGAGGAGATGCTCGATATGAATGATGTAACTGTCCTCTGGCTGCCCGGTGGAGTCACAGCTTATGTGGATGTTAGCAAAGACGGAATCCTGTGTTTAGGGGTGGGATGGTACTCTGATGAAGGTGTTAACCTTGTGATGGAGAGAGACTATGGGATGGATGGAAAGCTCAAGGAGGTGAGATGGAAATCAGAGTTGAAGAGGAGGTGGACGGACCCAGTCTCTCCTTGAGATGTTCGTTGTGTTTTTACGTTTCTACTTTCTTTTTTCTTTATGTCTTTCATACTTTGAGATGGTAGTTCATGTCTCATTTCTAGTGTAAAATAAGGGTATAATGAATATATGCGGAGGTGGCTAGCTGAAATCTTGTGCTTATCGATGTTGTTGCCTGATGTACATATGATTTTGTATTGATGCCTGGGGCCTCCTATTTAATTCTCTGGAGACCTCTGGAAGCCATTTATGATTGCTCAGGACTTTTTGTTCTATAGTTTTACGGATTCTACAACTGGGAACTGTTTCAAGAGTCTTCAAAAGTGACGGAGTTGACTGATTCACAAGCTCCAGAGTCGCATTGTTTTACATGAACTGGAGTCCTGTCATGATTGATATTCGTGATGTCCAGAATTTCTCTCTTGTCCGTTAAACTTCACTTGATCAGTATAATGACTTGGAAACGGTTGGCTTTCAAAGTGAAAACTAGGGTGATGCTCTCTTGTGCAAACCGCGAGACTAAACAGCTAAATACCGCCTAAATGTACCTGCTGGAGGATCTGGACTGCCAGAGGATTTCATCCTTCTATCTGATACGTCTGCTAGCATATGCACTCGGTAAGTCTTTTGTATCCTTCGCTTGTATCTTTTCCTACTGACTAATATGCTCTCTTTTTTCGATGCGTGGTTTGTTGTATTTGAGAACCTACCCTTGGAGCAAATTTGCTTGGAAGTTAAGAATCTGTTTCGGAGCTGACACGAGCACCACTCTGTATCTGATAATTTTTGTTCTCACGTGTCATATTCTGTCTTCTTTTGTAGAAGAGTTAATATGGTGTGTTTGTATCAACTACAGAAATTTGGCAGCATGTACGTATCAGATGGTTCTTTCAGTTGAAATGTCATTTTCTTGTAGCGCGATATTTATTGATCTTTGTTGTAGTTTACACTCCAGGAACTATAAATTGCCAGGGAATCAGTCATCTATGAATGGATAAATCTGGAAGGAGATGAGTTGGTGGTTGATCAGCTCTCTTAAAACCAAACAAAGAGGTGGATTGGTTCAACCTCCTTGTTTTTAGCCAAGGTTGAAGCATACCCTATTACGGAAAATCGGCGAAAATTGCGGTGCAAGTAATCTAGAATCCCGTGGTTCCATACCACTTTCTGTAGTGGTTTACCATATCCAAATTCCCTGGAAACATATGTTTTGAATTACTTTCCAAAATCTTCATCAAATTTTTTTTAAATCTTGCATTTGTCCCCGCTAAAATTGTAAATTTTGATGTTGGATCGCGTGATACATTCAAGTATAGACCTTTGGATGACCATTAAGTGCTCGATTAACAATAAGGAACATCACGGAGAAGAGAATTTTCTTGTGATGAGAGATATGACAGGTTTGAACTGACAACCGATAAGCTTAGAGAAATTTTGTCTCATATAGAAGAAGGTTTCGAGTTGTTCACATTTTATTTTTAAATAATCAACTTGTAGATTCTCTTGTTGAACCTGTCCTTGTGCTCTTGGTCTCTTTGGATAACCTCAACCCTTGAAACGTCCCGATATATTGGAAAAATTAAACGTATAGACAGATGGAAAAGTATAAAATCATTAAATAGTTTTCAAGCCAAATGGGGGATTTTTTAGCAAATGACTTGTCACATAGCCATAACTTGTAACATAGCCAAAGATATTGTAGCTTTTCTCATTTTTGAGGGGTAGATATATGCAAACGATATGTTCAAAGCAAAACATACTCGCAAGTAGTTTAGAACTTGTAGCCACCGAACTCCTTTAAATGCTACACTACCCCCTCTCTCCCCCCACCTCATCAAAGAGCAGAGATGAGAAAGCAAAAGCTGAGATCGTCCATCAAAGCCATTCAAGAAGCTATAATCAGTCGAAAACCAATGAGCCCCGTCTGCACTCCACAATCCAAAGCCAATTCATTTAAAGATGAAGCAAGTGATTTCTCCTCTTCAGTGATCTCCAACAGGCTCTTCTTCTCTCCCAGCATGACAAGGTCCATAATGGAGGAAGCCAGACCACGACCGAGCAATCTCAATACAGAAAAGCTCGATAATGGTGATTTCTTTGACGAAAGTATAGTGACAGTCTTGGCTTCCAATGATCCGTTTATGGACTTTAAGTCATCAATGGAGGAGATGGTGAAGGCTCATGGAGTGAGAGAGTGGGAGCGGTTGGAGGAGCTGTTGCTTTGTTATTTGAGGCTCAATGAGAGGAGAAATCACGAGGCTATAGTGATGGCATTTGTGGACTTTGTTAAGAATTTAGTGCATAATCAGTGCCGAGGATTTCCTAGTCCCTTTGGGTCATCTAGTTTTCCCATGCTTGTTTCTGATCAGTGAACTTCTTACTCCCGTGTCACGTCTCTCTTTACAGTTATGCAGGATTGAATTGTAATTTATACTGTTCTTTGTAAGAACTATATCATCTCGTATACATAAAAGTAATTGTGTCGAAAGGCTTTGATAAATTTCATAGCAAACAGCCTGTCAGCTTAATCTTTTAGCCTGTAATAGATTTAGCTTTCTATTGTTATATTCATGAAGTCTAAATTCAAATCTCATCATTTGTTTTCTTTACTTTTAGTTTAAAACTTTTTAGTTCCAAAATTTACATTCTGAATCACACACCCATATGAATACGAGGTGATATAATTCTTACCAATAACAATGTAAATTACAAAACTTGTTGTTGTTCTTAATTTAAAACTTCTGAGATGCTTTTTCTTTCATTGTTTGAGGAAACTGGTTTGGAAAATTTTGAGATTAACTACGAAATTTCGTTTTCTCTAATCATATAAATCCCACATGTTATCCCAGTTTCAATTTTAAGTTCTAGGTGACTAACCCCTTCCAAAGGGTCATTTCCTGTGTTACATTGCACAAACTTTCATGTATCAATCCATTTTCATTTTGAGTCTTCTCCTATTCTCTGTTGTGCCATCAAGTATGATCCCATCAATCCTATAAATGATGCATTTTTTAACTCAACTCCTCATTATGAATGTAGACTTATCCTTCTTTTATCTGTCCCATGTCAATCAAGATAAAGAAGCAAGTTGACACAACTGACTTCCAACATGAAACGTAGTTGATATCTATCAAATGAATCTTAAAGATTACAAGTCCTCCAAGTTTTCATTAATAAGAAATTGATGAATTCATTAGCAACTATACTGACCTCATTTACTCCTTACTTTCAAACATATGAGAGCTGAGGGTAAGTGATGCAGTTTGTAAATGTGTAATCCCGTTGATCGGTGTGCTGAATTATTCTCACCAAACTTGACACTATCTCAACAGCATGTACAAAGTAGGCATACTGTCCAATTATATCATACAAGTTAAGATACCAACATCAAACATAATTGTATTCATATCCATCTAACTTAAAATGTACTGCTCCTTCCCTTTGTTGTCATCCGTGTTCAAATCATTCTTCCTTTTCTGTCTTTGGCTTTCTATATTTGATGTGTAATCTTCATGTTTGATTAATCTACTCTTTTTTTGAAACAATCTCTTGGCTAAGATGTTTGATTATCCTTGTTACTTGTGTAATTATTTTTTCTGTTCTTTTCATTAGACATTGGTCAACCTGATTTTTTTTTTCTAATGATGTCGACGCTTTTTTTTCACTCTTGAAGATTCAGCTTGTAACCAGCCACTTGTTTATATCGTTGATGTGCACTTTTATTACTAATGTTTCCATTATTCTAGTTCATTAACCATATTGACAAAGCAATTGATAAAACTGTCCAGAATGAATTCACATTATTCTCTGCTCGACTGTTGGATCCCTAAGTCCCATAAGTTCATTAGATTGGTTAAAATTCTTCTAAATTTTAAATTTTATTAGTTGCACTTTGGAAATTTGAACCTCCTGTGCGCTAAAAGTGTTCAAAATTCTTATTTCTTGCCTCTTACATACCCCTTATCGTGCAAACGACTACTTCTTTGGATCTCGACATTGTCTAATTGATTAAGGTAACGTAATTCTTTTGTTGCCCACAGTGGCTGAATCATTCTACATTCTTCTCTGTCCTGCTATATTTAGCGCTCAAAATAGCACTTTTTGGCTCTTACTGATAGAGTTTGTTGTAAACAAACTCTTGTTATGCTCTGCTCTGCACAACTGTATTCGATTGAATCTATTTGGTTATGCATGCTTATCCATAACAAGATTTGTGATGATAAGATTAGATATCTTATGTATCTTCTCATGTATATCTCCTGTAACTACTCATCTATATCTCATGTACTCTACAACACTATATATATCAATGATCACTCATGATTGATGTGGGTTAGCCTTTTTACAGAACTCTGTTCTTAGCTTCTTCATGGTATCAGAGCAGCCACGATCCAAATCCTCCATTACCATGACAACTTCCAGCTCTACTACTTCCCCTACATCATCCTCATCATTTGATTTTTCCGTTGCCTCGCCTCATCCCAATCTCGGTAATATTCATCATTTTCTTTCTTTAAAGCTAACTCCAACAATTATTTTCTATGGAAAACGCAGTTTCTTCCTTTGTTAAGGAGTTTCGATCTCCTCGGATTAGTGGAGGGCACAGATTGTTGCCCTTCCCCTTCCATTGTTACTAGTGGATCTGGTCTGTCATCCTTCAATCCAGCATATATTGCTTGGGTTCGCAAAGACCAACTCATTCTCAGTTGGATTATCGATTCACTCTCGGAAGAAGTTCTCAAACAAGTTGTTGGTCTTGCGACATACCATGAAGTATGGCAGACTTTACACCAAGCGTTTGGCTCTCCGTCGCACACTCGAATTCTTCAACTTCACACTCAATTGCAAAATCTAAAGAAATGAGATGATTCTGTCTCCTCCTACTTGAGCAAAGAAAAATATCTTGCCGATGAGCTTGTTGCTGTTGGACAACCAATGCCTCCTGCTACCTTTAATGCAATTGTTTTTAATACCTTGGCTAGTGAATACGGTGAAATGATTTCGGCCTTGTCTGCTATGTCGGAACCAGTCCCTTATCCTGAACTTTGTAGTTTACTCGTTGGCCATGAAATTCGTCTCTCAGCACAATCTGTTGTGGTTTCCTCAATTGTTCCTGTAGCAAATGTTGCTCATGCTCAACCAATAATGACCAATGAAAATCATTTTCACCGTGAACGTGGACGTGGATGTGGTCATGCCTCCTCTAATCATCGTGATCCTTGCCTGGTTTGTGGTATGCATGGTCACAGTCCTTATCGTTGTCGGTTCCATAGCCGTGGTCCGCCCAATCCTCAGACTAATTCTGCACAATTGCCCTCATATGCGCCTATTGATGATTGGTTTCCTGACACTGGTGCTACCCATCATATTGCCCCGGACTTCAATAATTTTATGACCTCTGAAGAGTACAAAGGAGGAGATCAAATTTAAGTTGGTAATGGTAAGAGACTGTCCATATCTCAAGTAGGCTCAATTCATATTCACTCTTATTCAAGATCTTTAAAACTTTCAAATGTTTTCTCTGTTCCCTCCATTAATAAACGTCTCCTTTCTGTTCATCATATTTCTAGAGATAATAATTGCTTTGTTGAGTTTCATCCTAATTTCTTTGTGATTAAGGATCAAAAATCAAAAGCAATACTTCTCAAAGGACCGAATGAAAGCGGTCTCTATCGCTGGCCAAGTCAATCTTCTTCCAATAAAGACTCATCTCCATCTACTTTTGTCAGTTCGTGTGTTTCTTCAGATCTTTAGCATCAACGTCGAGGACATCCAAGTGATCTAATTGTGCACCACGTTTTTCATAGAACCAAGCTTCCTTATTTGCTGAGTTGTAGGACAACTAAATGTCATGATTGTTTTCTTGGCAAGTCAAGTCGTTTGCACTTATCTCCTACATGTACTAGAAGTAGTGGTCCTTTAGATCTTGTGTTTAGTGATGTATGGGGTCTATCACCCATACTCTCTTCTAATGGTCATAGATATTTTGTTTTATTTGTTGATGACTACTCCAAATTTACATGGTTGTTTCCTATTTATCGGAAATATGAAGTACTTGATGTTTTTATTCGTTTTTAGCATTTTGTAGAACTTCAATTTAATTGTAAAATCAAGTCACTTCAATCTGATTAGGGGGTGAATATCAAAAATTCTCCACTTATTTTCAAAAATATGGTATTTCTCATCAAGTTGCGTGTCCACATAGGCTTCGCAGAACGGAAAATTCATCACGTCGTTAAAACTGGTCTCTCTTTACTTGCTCATGCTTTTGTACCTCATCGTTTTTGGCACTTTGCTTTTGAAACGGCTATCTATCTTATTAACTGCTTACCTACATTTGTTCTAGAGGGCAAATCCCGTTTTGAAACCATGTTCAAAGTTGTTCCAGATTATCAATTTCTCAAGGTGTTTGGTTGTGCACCATATCCATTTATCCGTCCTTACAATAAGCATAAATTCGCATATCATTCTGTCCGTTGTGTATTTATAGGATATAGCCCTAGTCATCTAGGCTACCGTTGTCTTGATCATTGTAGTGGACGTATTTATATTATTCGTCTTGTGCGATTTGATGAGTCTGCATATCCCTTTAAAGATGATTCCATTCTTGGAGCTCCTCCACTTAACTCTCCTTAATATCCTTGGCTCTCAGTTGTTGTGCCATGGTCCTCTCCAAATACAAATTCATCACCATCATCCTCACAACCTGTAATCCCTAACCAACTTCCATCTAACCAAGTTCAATCTACCACCTCTTTCTTGCATACTAATACAAAAAGACAAGCATCAACTTCACTATAACTCACTCCATCTCAACCTACTGAAATTGATTCACATGTATAAGTTCCATTGGAGCCAATTGACTCTGGATCTCTTCCATTGCCTACTAGCAATGCAACCTTCTCAACTCACCCGATGGAGTCGTGTTCGAGAAACCCTACAGATTATCGTCAACTTGCTGGTTTGCATAGTTCTCGAGCGCTCTTTACAACAAAGCGTACCCTCTTCCTGCTGCACTTCTTTCACATAGTGTAGTTATTCAAGAGCCAACATGCTTTATTGAACCTAATAAAAACCCATAATGGGGAGCAGCTATGTCAGAGGAAATCTCAGCGCTCTTGTCAAATGGCATTTGAACATTTTAGCCCCTAATGCCACCAGGAAAGAACCCTAGAGGGGGGTGAATATGGTCTTATGCTAATCTAATCCGATTTAATACCAATTAAAACTTATTAACAAGTTATCTTATTAAATAAGATATGCAATGAATTATTAGCAAGGATAAGCAATATAAACAAGGATAAACAAAATAGTGGCCAATATAAACAAAGAGGTAAAGGCTAAAAAGATGAACAAAAAAGAGTGCGCCAATACAAACTCAAACAAACAATATGATCATGGAGTTCGGACCTTCCGTCCTACGTCTCCGCTCCTCACTCTTAGGGAGAAATTCACTATCACACCAGGTTTTCGACGCTCACCTGAAAACGTTTACACCACACAATATCGGTTTTTAACGCTCGCCGATCAACGTTCACAATCACTCACAATGTAACTACATAACTACCACCTCAAATGTTGGCCTTT